GGTGGGGGGACAGGTGATATAGGTGATGGAGATTAAAGAAAACATTTATCATGATGAGTACTGAGTAATGTATAGAATTGTTGAATCACTTTATTGTACACCTGAAACTAATATAACACTGTATGTTAACTATATTGGAATTAAAAATTTTTTGAATAGTGAAGTAAAAAGTTTTCATTTACTTACATACTCAGCAAATAACACTCTTAGATATAAAGTATAAGATAAAGAATCTGTTCTTTGAGGTTTCAGGGTCCAAAACTAGAAATCCAGGGAGGGAGGCAGGGGGAGAAAAGAGGCTGACATTGGGGCTAGAGAGAGAACAGGGTGAAAGCCAACATAACTTCATGGGCCACAGCCTGTGGTCTGGCTCCATGCCAAGCATGCTTCAGGATCATGGGTCTGAGAACAGCTTTGCACTGGGGCATCTTTTTATTATATACCCCAAATGACAACATATTTTTAATCTCAGAGAAGTACATAGGTAAGAAAAAAAATTGTAATCTTTCATAGGACCTTCCTGAAGACTCCTCTTTTCTCCAGAAAGTCTTCAGGTATACAAAAGAATTATGGTATCTTGTCTGGGATTGTTTTTGCAACCTGACTAAAGACCCATTGATGTTATGGTTGGAGCAGCCAATTCCTAAATCCTCAGCAAGCACATTCCATGCTCAGAACTCTAATGGCTCTTTGAAACACCCTAAGCACGCTCCACCTCTGGCAACTAGGAGAATGTTTGTTATATGTCATCTGCACATATCCGAATATGTGAAATATTTCATAACATAGGTAATGATAGTGATGTCATACATTAGTTGTATATGGTGTATATAACAAAATAAGTGATCATTTGATTTTGTAGGAATTTAAAAGGGTCAAAGAATTATGGCAAGAACACCTAGGAATTTTTCTTACAGGGAGTGGAAATTGAGTTGGGCCTTGAAAGATTTTTTTATAGGAAACAGAATTAAAGACCCAGAGGTAGAAAAGAACTTGCTAGATGAAAAAGTTAGTGAGAAAACTGGCCAGCTCAGAGAGTGCCATTCTCATCATAGTCTACAGGGCTGGGCAAGCGTGACTGTATCTGGTGGCCCCGGTGGAGTATTGGAAAAGTGGGGAGTGATTAGAAAGGTTGAAATGCTGGGCTTAGAAGTTTAGACTTCATCCTATGAGATGTGGGGAACTGGAGAAGTGATTTTGAGAAAAAGATAAATGATAGCAAAGTGGCTGAACATACAGGCTTTGGAGCTAGATAAAAATTAGTTTGATATGCACCCATATTACTACTATGTACTAGCTATATGATTTAGGTAAGTCACTTAAGTTTATTAAGCCTTGTTTTTCTTAGCTGCACAATGGGTATACTAGTATTTTCCTTATAGAATTATGAGAGGATTAACTGAGATAATATATGCAGTGATTGACACATAGTAAGTGCTTAATAAATCATATTTAACTATCATAAGCCATTATTTCAGAAGTTAATCAATTGATTATTTATTTTCATGCATCTCCAAAGGGGCTCAGATATTTAAAAAAAAAATTTTTTTTTTTTTAAAGTAATCTCTGGGCTCAAACTCACAACCCTGAAATCAAGAGTTGCAGGCTCTACTGAGCCAGTCAGGCACCCAGGGCTCAGATATTTTATAAATGGCAGTGATATACAGGATGAATTGGGTGAAGAGAGCTTGGTAGGCAGACCAGCTGATTTTGTTTTTAAGTGGTTTTAACTGGGATCCCTGGGTGGCGCAGTGGTTTGGTGCCTGCCTTTGGCCCGGGGCGTGATCCGGGAGACCCGGGATCGAATCCCACGTCGGGCTCCCGGTGCATGGAGCCTGCTTCTCCCTCTGCCTGTGTCTCTGCCTCTCTCTCTCTCTCTCTGTGACTGTCATAAATAAAAAAAAAACATTTAAAAAAAATAAGTGGTTTTAACTTTGTAAAACCAGTTAGTTGTATGAAGTAACAAAGGCTTAAGCTGTGGTTTTTGGAATAGAAGATAGAAGTTGGAAAAACAAACCTCTACATTATTGTGTCTCATAGAGACAGTTATAAGCTGCACCATCATATATGTACCATGAAGAAAGAAAAACCACTGACAAAGTCTGGCACAGTGCTGATCACTTAAAATTTTTATTTTACACTTATTGAGAGAACTCTTTTAAGCTTATTTAGACATAGATTTTAATAGTATTGCATTTTATATAGTACCTTAAAAAGGAAAATAAAAGTGAAATAAATTGGTATTCCTAAAACTTCTCACTTTCACAGTCCAGTGCTTCTGAATGACTTCTTACTGCAAAGTCATCATCGTCCGTGACATTTCATGTAATATTGTCCTCTGTGCCATCAAGAGCATGGGTGGTGCTGCATGTCTTTAGGAAGTGCTCTGCTATAGTCTCTAGACTTTTTTCTAAGATGCAACAAGTTTGATGCTGGTGCTTCTTGATCTTACTAGAAAGATCCCTGGGGAGATTATCTAACTGCAACCAAGACTCACATTCCTTTCTCAAATGGTTTGTTGATCGAAAAGGCAAGGGATTGCAGTCATGATCCTAGGGAGAAAAGCCATGTTCACAGGTGTGCAGCCTGTGACAACTGTGTCCCAAGTTGCTTCATCCACAGCAATTTTAAGATGTATCTTGATTTCAGAGCACTGATAAATGCAAAAAAATATGTACCTCAGAATTGAGAAGTCAGATAGAATTGAAGCGCTAGCTTGATCACTCTGGGAAACTTTACTGAATGACCTTAAAAACACTGTGGTCACAGCTGAAGTTATTTTGTTGTAAATTACTCAGAGGAATGCTCTATCAGCAATTTGTTTTTTTTGAAACTCAGGATATTTTAAGGAATTATATAGATCTGATAAGTTTAGCAAAGTGCCTGGAGATGAATTCCTAGAATTTTACTGATCCATAAAAATGGCTAAAATTGTTTGAAACCAGCTAATAATGTAATAATAATAATCTAATGACTTCCTGTCTTTGCCAAGTATTTCCAGCACAGTGAAATTTATTTATTTATTTTTTAAAGATTTTATTTATTTATTCATGAGAAACAGAGAGAGGCACAGGCAGAGGGAGAAGCAGGCTTCATGCAGGGAGCCCGATGTGGGACTCGATCCCCGGTCTTCAGGATCATGCCCTGAGCTGAAGGTGGCTCTAAACCGCTCAGCCACCTGGGCTGCCCGTGAAATTTATTTTTATACTATTATTATTCACTCTTACTATGGCTTGCATACTAATACAATGATTCAACCTGGTATATTAAAGTTTAGAGACCAGAATTTAGGCTTATAAGATTTGATTTTTCTCTGGGATGGTAACGAAAAACTCTACATAGGATACAGAAACTAGAAAGTAGAAAATACAAATCCTTAAAGTTGGCATGGCAACACTAGCTGCTTATGTTACAATAAATATATTGGCAATGATTTTTAAAACTTACTTGTTGTTGTTGTTGTTAGAAACCAGGCTAAAACTGAGTCTCTAAGATGATAATGACTATACGTGTTTGTACTATTTTTCTTTCATCCCCTTTGTTAACCTATTTGGAAGGTTCTGTAACTGCAAACGTTGTACTTCATAACCAACAATAATTTTTACTTTTCCATACGCTTGAGGTGGAGTATGGGAATCTATCTTTTTTTAATCCTCATGAGATACTTTTAAGGAAGTTTGCCTGATTGAGAGTCCATCCTGGAGTAGAAAACCTAGGACTGGGACGCTGGGGTGGCTCACTGGTTGAGCGTCTGCCTTCAGCTCAGGTCATGATCCCGGAGTCCTGGGATCAAGTCCCACATCAGGCTCCCTACATGGAGCCTGCTTCTCCCTCTGCCTCTGCCTCTGCCCCACCCCCTGTGTCTTTCATGAATAAATAAATAAAATCTTTTTTTAAAAAAAAGAAAACCAAAAAAATAAAAAATAAAAATAATAAAAATTTAAAAAAGAAAACCTAGGACTTGAGTATTGTCATAATTTCTGGGAAACCTCTTTTCTTTTCCCTTTATTTCTAAGATAATGGCTTGAGCCCTGAAAGCAAGTTAATTTCCTGTCCCATCTTGTTATATTTCCATAATTGCATGGCTTCTTTGTCATCTCTCAGTGTGTCCTTACCCCCCTGTGTATTCTTGTGAGGGAATGAATGCATTATTGGTGATTGTAGGATCCTGTGTCTGCCTACCCTTTCTACTCATCATGGAAGAATGTGTGCATGTACAAATGTACTGCTGCTAAGTTCTCTGTCTTTGGAGAGATCTTTCACTGGTAGTGGAAGGGAAGGAGTCAGAACAATGGTATCTGGTTTAGACCTGGGCATGCCAGAGCTACAGAGACATCATGGGTTTGAAGTTTACCACTCACCAGGGAGTACCAGAAAGGAGGGAGGGCTTGACCTGCGGGGCTCTCTCTGACCCTGGGCCTTGCTGATAGTGACACCTTTGACAGGTAGCTCCAGTATACACCACTTGTTTTCCCCTCTGAAGCCTTTCAGCTGAGCCTCTCAATCACTTGAATCACCTGTTGGGTAGTCTGGCCTTGCAGGAAAGTAGTGGCAGTTTCAGATAGGTTGCTTAGAGTTTTAGAGACATAAGTCCTTGGTGATCTGGAAAATGATTTTAGTGATGAACTACCACAGCTAGGTTTTATCAAATGGCCTGAGAAACAGAATAAAGAACGCCATTCCTATTAGACATGGAACAGGTAATAGGGCTGGCGTTGAATGAGAAAATGTGACTTTAAGAAGCAGTATTTCTGTAAAACCTTTCCCACTGGCTCCTTTCTACTGTTATTACCTATAATTTCATCATCTTTTCACTTAATTCTGTATAGTATGATGTCTTTGGGGCCAGCGGGTGTTTTTACCTGCTAGTTGTAGAAGTGTTTGCTCCTAGGGCTCTGCTATGGTTGAGGGAGCCAGCCCCACCCACTCTCCGGTTGCTTGGCACCAACCCTCCCTGGTTGCTGGGCATCTTGTTTACTCCTGCCCTTAATTCCCTGCAGGTGCGTAAGTACAAGAGCATGATCCTGGAAGACCTGGAGTCTGCCCTGGCAGAACACGCCCCCGCGCCACAGGAGGTTAACTCAGAGCTGCCACCTCTCACCATCGACGGAATTCCAGTCTCTGTGGACAAAATGACCCAGGTAAGGGGTGGAAAGTGAGGAGGAGACAGAAAGACAAGTGGCCCGGGTGTGGGCGGGCCTCAGGTCACACTTCTTAGTTTTGTGCTCAGTGATGCCAGTGGAGAGAGAGCCAAGCTTGAGTCTGACAGTGAGGTGGTAGCAGCCTTGGGGAAGAGAATGTAGTGTCAGAAGAATGCTCCCACCCGAGAGTGTGGATGTGGTCTCCTTCTTGGTTCGCAGTTCTTTCCTTTCACTTGGGCTATTGGGTTAGATAAAGAAACTTATAGTCCGGAATTGGTTTGGACAGGTGGCTGTTAGGATTTTGATGAATCACCATCAAGCAGGGCAAGTAAATGTAGTCTTTTGGGCTGAGTTGCTCCTCTATGTAAATTCCGAATACCACCACGCTGTCATCAAGGAAGGTTCCCCTCTCTGGGGAGTAAGAACAGAACACTCAGAAGGACATCCCCCTGAGTCATTGCTTCTCCTCTTGTTTTGACAAGGAAGTCAAAATGTACTTAGCCTGAGAAATCAGCATTCCTGAGGAGTTTTGCTGAGGTGGTCCATTTTAAATAGCTTTGAAAGTAACAGCTTGATCAAGATCAAATGCCTTTTTTATAACATATTTTCCTGCCCTATTTCTTTATTAATGTACTCCTCTCTTGGTAAATCCAGTTGTGAGTTTTCTTTCCTGATCTTATTCAGTCTTCCAGCAGCATTTAGCACAGTTGATTATTCCTTCCTTCTTCTTTTTTTTTTTTTTTTAAGATTTTGTTTATTTATTCATGAGAGACACAGAGAGAGGCAGAGACACAGGCAGAGGGAGAAGCAGGCTCCATGCAGGGAGCCCGACATGGGACTAGATCCCGGGTCCCTAGGATCACGCCCTTGGCTGAAGGCAGCGCTAAACTGCTGAGGCACCCAGGCTGCCCAGCTTCATTCTTTAAACTCGCCCTCAGTCACTGTGCTCTGGCCACACTGGCCCTCTTTTTATCACACTCCAAGCCCATTCTTTTGCTTTTACTGTTTCCTCTGCCTGAAACATTGTTCTCCCTGATCGTTACACGCTTAACCTTATCTTATTCAAAGTCTGGCTCAGACATTACCTCCTAAGATCAGCCTTTCCTGATTATCCCATCTAATGGAGCTTCTCCTTGCTACCAAGTCACTGTGGAATGCGTCCCCCTATCCTACTGTCTTGGTAACACTGTTTGCTACCCGGAATTATCTTATTCATGAACATTTATACTTGTCTGTGATCTATCTCTCCAGCTAGAATTTGAGAGCAGGAATTTAGTTTCCATTCTTTACTGCTGTCTACTACAGCTCCTGGCACCTAAATAACCTTTGAATTTTAAATAATAGTATATGTTCAGTAAATGACCTAAGATTCAGAGTAAAATGAATCCAGCATGGTAGGTACTTGGATTGTAAGTCTTCCAAGTGGATGTTCATTGGCTGCAGATACTGATGCTGCTACTCAGGGGGTAACACTTTTTTTCCTGCTGAATCTGAGCTTGCAGTTTAGTCTAAAGCCATATAATGTTTTATAAAGCTAAACTGTGATCTTTTGCTTATTGGATTCATAGATCTTTCTCTGGACATTTGAAGAATATCTAAATAATGGTTCAAAAGGAAAGCATTATCTAAACTTTTTTCCTGTCACTTCATACCTATTATTCTGTCCTTAGGACCATTGACTAATTAAAGAAAACATAAGATGATTTTTTTTACCTGATTGATATAAAGAATTTATACCTCAGATATAAGGTAGATAAAAAGCTAAACTTCTGGTTAAGAATACTATGAGAGGTATTATGCCCTCTACCGTGATGGGCATTTTTTTCCTTTGTCACATTTGAAACTTTTGTTTTCTATTCTTGTGAAATACATACTTGGGAGAGCTTTGTCGAATGATCCCAGGGAAGTTAGTACTGAAATCAGGGATCAGACTCAGGTACTTTGTTGGGAGCATGCACATTCTTTATCATCCTACATTCCATCCTTTCCCTTCTCATCACAGATCATGACTAAAAAGTAATATGTAACAAATAAAACAAACAGATGGTGAGGAGGAGTGAGAGCAGGGTGTTGAAAACCCCAGCTCCTAACTGGATGGTAATTTCTGCGTATTTGGATCCTGGATTTTGCCCTCTGGATTTTTTTTTTTTTATTAATGTGAGCCAGTTACCTTTTTTTTTTTTCTAATTGATACCAAAACCTTTCACGATTAATGATAGTAAAAACAGGGTATTATTTCAAACTAAACCTAGGTAGGAGAGGGAATGGGAATACAAGCATTTTAACACAGTGTCAGTAGAAATGCGCAGTGGTATTATCTTTCCAGAAAGCTGGGTGACAGTGCATATCAAAATTTAACATATGAAAAAAAAAACAACAACAAAATTTAACATATGTATGTCATGCCCTCCAGGTGAGCAAAGATGTATGTTCATGGCATTGTTTATAATAGAAAAATCTGGGAACAAAGTACTTGAATAAGTTAAGGTAGTGATATTTAGAATTTATGTGAAAAAACAGCAGCTCCCAAACTAGACTAGAAATTTACTATTCAGGGAAATATTAGACACCAAAAATGCTGATGTTTTCTCTATTGCAGTGGGATAGAGAATTCCAGTAGTTTTTAACTGCTTGTAAAATAACATTACATATGTTCTCTAATTTGCTTTGTTTAATACTGTTTAGTGCTTTATTTTTTGTTTGTTTAGGAGAGGGCTAGATTTTTTCCCCCCAGGGAATACATAATTGAGTTAATCAATTTCATTGGTTTAGAACATGCACACAAAACTTGTCTCTGTGTGTTGTGTGTATGTAAAACTTACTGTAAAACCAAAATATTAACAGTGATTATCTGTACACGGTGGCATTATGAGTGATTTTCACTTTCTTTGTCTAATAAGCATGAATTACTTTTATAAATAGAAACACAAAAATATTTTTTATATTTAAACTTGAATTTTTCTTTTTCTTTTTTTTTTAAGATTTTATGTACTTATTTTAGAGAGAGAGAGCATGAGCATGAGGATAGGGGCAGAGGGAGAAGCAGGGTCCCCACTGAGCAGGGAGCCGAATGCAGGGCTCAATCCCAGGACCATGAGCCAAAGGCAGATGATTAGCTGACTGAGCCACCCAGATGCCCCTAAATTTGATTTTTTTAAAGTACAAGTTTGTTGAACTTTAGATGAAGTTGTCAACAACTCTTTTTTCTTTCTCTTATTTTTCTCATATAGCTACTATGTTTTGGGAGACACACTACTAGGTTTTTATAGGAGTATCTCATTTAATCCTTGTCCTCCAGAGTACATATATAATTCCTATTTCATAGTCAAGGAAGCAGAACTCATATATGGTTGATTGATAACCATAAAGGATGAGGAAATTTAATTGGATACCAATTCTAGAATCCAGACCATATGGGTAATTCATGACTTCCTTGAAGTGTTAAATTCCAGAATTATAAAGGTGCATGGTAACAGAGATGGACTTGGGTTAACTAGACAACTCTATTAGTCATCTTATCTGCACTGAATGCTGTGGAGATGAATAATATTTATATTGATGATCCAGACTGACAAATATAATTCTATATGCAATCCTAAGATGAGTACTCAATCATCTAAAGAGTAAATTGTATTCAATATTGTTCTAATGTTATGGGTTGGTTCCATTATTATCTACAAATTTGAAAGTTAGCCTGGTTTATTAGAGTTGGAAGGTCTAGTCTCTAGTCCCATTCCTACCACATAGAGCCCGGGTTCCCAGTTTTATCTGAAAGTGAGAATAATATATGCCCTCCTACTTTATGGAGTCAAATAAATTAAAAATAAGGTATTATATGGGAAAGTGCTTTGAAAATGAATACATCACACAAAGATAGTATTATCACTTATACTAACTGTATATATTACCTATATTAACTTTTGAGTGACCTGAACATTACCATTTCTCACCCATTTTTCACTTACAAAAAGTTAGTGGACCTGGAATTTTTATTTGGCTAAGCAATGAAGTGGGACAATACAGGTGATCATATATTTAAAATTGAGGCATAAAGAGAGGAAGCAATTTATGAGGCAAATTAGTGACAAATAGAAATGGAATTAAATGAAGTCCATATTGCCAGTGTTTTCTTTCGCTCTCTCTCTCTCTCTGTTTCTGTCTCTTTCTGTAAAATTATATTATGATCATCACTCAGGTTGAGTATTTTAACTAATCTACACTAAACATTTACTGTCTTAAAGAAATTTCTTGCTTTATCAAAATTGTCTCCTACACAAATTGAAATTACATATGATAGAATATCTTAAGTTCTGTGTGAACTGAATGCTCTGGTTCTTTTAGGAAGCAGCTCTGTAGTTTTGCTTTTTGTTATTTTTTAATTTATTTTTGGTTTTGGTATGAGTATGATGCCATGTTAGTAAATAGAATATTTATATAAACATTTACTTAAAAATACAAACTGTAACTCTGTCTTGATCCTGTTAAAGTCTTAGTGTGTATGTGTGCGTTTGTGTGTGATAAAAAACACATAGCTCTGTAATATTTTTAGTGCTAAAATGAAAACTTGCATTTCTAGGGAACTTTGTGAAAAGTGTCTAGGGGAATGCCCTGATGGTTCAGGGCATTCATTGGTTCAGTGGTTGAGTGTCTTCTTTCGGCTCAGGGGGTGATCCTGGGGTCCTGGGATCGAGTTCCACATCGGGCCCCCCACAGGGAGCCTGCTTCTCCCTCTGTCTATGTCTCTGCCTCTCTGTGTCTTTCATGAATAAATAAATAAAATATTTTTAAAAAGAAAAAAAGAATAGTGGCTAGAACTTATCCCATATCTGCCTGCCTACTGGCATAAGAGTTGAAGGAGGTTGAAATAAGGCTTAGCAGAAGAAATCATTAATTTAGTGTAGATTCTGCAATGAAATAATGAAGCATCTTTTTCAGAGATTTTGGAAGCCAGGTTTGCAAAATTTTATAGGATACTTCAGACCAGAAACCAAAGCTAAATC